TGAGAAGCTGTTCCAATTCACATTCAATGATGATCAAGTCCTATACTTGTAGTTATTAGTTAACATATTTCATTACTACATTTGTAGTAGGTTGACCTGCATAACATGAGAATTTGAAAATAAAAAAAAAACTCATGAAAATAAAACAGAATTTGTTAAAAGCTAAAATGCATGCTTGTAAATCATTAACTAAAAGACCATTTCATAGATGTGTCCCCAAATTATAATGTACATTTGGTGTCATACACTGGGATATTGTTTAAAAATGAAATGTGTCCAACATCGCTGAATTAAATCTCAAAAGAACTTAATGCCTCAGAAAACACTTGCAAAAGACAGGAAGAAAAATATAGGCATTGAGTTTAAGTTAGAAATATCTTGATTTAATTGTATGTTAAAAGTGCAATTTTTCTACCTTGATATTTAACTAAGAATTTTACAAGCTCATAAACTATAGGAAATTATAGTCTTATGGGACTTTGCCAATGTTCATGATGTTTTCAATTAGCTCTGAGTTTAGCTAGTAATTATGTTATTAGTTGAATTTACAGACCATTGGATATCACTTTTACCCTGGGGTCCAGGGTTGTAGTAATTTATAGAAGCTCTCCTTGTGAGTTGCAAATTGTGTCGATCACAAGTTCTCTGAGGTAGCTGGAAAAGTGTCTCAAACTTTCATGATTTTGAGTCTTAATATTTGATATTGTTGTAAACGCTTCAATACAAACTGAGTTGGAATATGGTTGTAATGACCCTCAATAGCAAGTCTCTACTACCTCGACTATAGTGTCTAGCCCCTTTGGCTAAATTGGTAGAGTGTCAGTCTTGTGAGTAGAGGGTCCTGGGTTCGATTCCCACACGGTGCATTAAATTTAGCACATTCCCTTTCAGTTCTAGTATCTGGCTCATCACACTATATCCCCCCCCCCGATGTGCATACCCAGTGGTCGTTACATGCTTAATCATATGTCATTGAATTTGACCACTGCATCATATTTACACTCAATTGTTCACATGAGTGATTGACATTCTGGAGTGTGAAGACATGCAGTGATGAAACGCAATGACACAACATGTCAACCCCATGTCCCATTTTGTATTAATTTAACTGTGAATGTGTTAAGGTAAAATAAGAAATTCATGTTTGGTCCAACTCACAGTTTGATATAATTGAATGATTACTATTTTTATGTGTAAAAGTAGATCTATATTTTGTATATATATTATATAATGTATACACTTTATGATTACAATAAAACTTGTCCTCGCGAACGGCTCTCTGTAAACACTAGTGTCCATAGTAATTAGCACCATTCCATATACACCATATAAACACCCTCTTTGTAGTAAACACCTACAATTGACAGTGAACACTTATAAGTTTTACTGTAAACATATCTACATAAGTGATAATTTGCGAGATAACTTTTTAACATTCACCTCTTAATAACTCGATTTCGATGCTTAAAAGTGAGGTTCGTCGTAGTTTATACCTAGACCCTACACGCATGGTACAGAATGAGTCAACTGAGCCCTGGAGACAAGACAGTCTGTCATATGACTTAATTTAACATAATTTTCACAAAAATTGCTTTAACTTTATGACTATTTTAAAATGTTCTGGTTTCAAGGCCTGGATGTCTACAGAGGCTAATTTGATATAATTAAAGATGGGTTATGTAGTCAAAAAAATGCAAAGGGTAACGTTTTACTATTTGGCCAAGCAGAAAATGTAGAAACATCAATGGTTTTAAACTACCCATGAGTGACTTTACCCCTTTGGATATCCAATGCAATTTGGATAAATCAGTCACAGAATTTCTTATTAAAATGGCTCAACCTTTGACAAATTTTGATTGATTTCCAAAAATTATGTACTAAATGCTAGATAATTATAGTAAATAAATATTAATAAAAGTGTATAATTTGGCAATCTTCACTTACATGTATATCAAAATGAACACAAACAATTGTAAATTAAGATGGCAAAATGGCAAAAAATGGCAAAAAATTCAAATGCTCTGGTACTGAAGAGGTTAATTTAACTGTTTTGAGACCAAGGGAACATCTCAAAAACATTAATGATCATATATTCGTTAAGGTACAACAGGTGTTTCAGATGATTTAACACAGATTTATATTTTGCATATTATATAATTGTACTATAATTTATGATAACAACAAAACTTGTCCAAATGAACAGCTCTCTTTTGTGAACAACATTTCATGTAAATGCTCTGAGAGAAAGGGAACATGTCAAAATCATTAATTTTTTTAAGGTTCAACAGGTGGTTCAGAGAATTTAACCCAATTTGAAATTTTTAATGAATTGAACTTGAGTGTTTGAACTCCGCCATATACCAAAAATGTAAGATAAAATCAAAAGTTGTCTTTAAAATTTCTAATATTTCTTTTCAATTTTGGAAGGTGATATATGAGTCTTGAAAATTACTGCCTAATTGGAGTGTTTTTATTTTGGTAAATGGGGCGGAATATTACCCTATTATAAAGGGTTCTTCTATGGGTCACAATAGACCACATCTGCCATTAAAATATAAATACAGTACCAATTTGAAACCTAATAGTGCAGTGAGACCCCCACTACCCTTCATCATATTCCCTACCCCAACATTTTATAGGCATGTATGATTTTCTCCATTTCTGGCCACTACTGGTGTGAAAGAAATGATGGTCCCCCAGGGATTATGGTCCCCTTTTTTAACGGCCCTTACCGGCCCTGATTGCGTATAAGATAATGAGGGAAAGAGTTGTATTTAGGTCGCCATATAAATCAATGGAGAGTAGGACCATCATTTGATAGGACCTCCTACCCTTTTACACCGGAATATGATTATATGAGTTTCAATTACATATTACTTATTTGATTATGTGTGATTTTTATGTATGACAAGAAAATGAGAAAAATGACTGACACATAATTATTCTCATCATAAGTGGATATTAGTGAATAAAGCCATAAGTGCTATAAATACATCCTGGCTCCACCTATCCTAAAAATGGGTATGCATTACAAATGGAATGGATGCCCAAACTGGTAGATTATAATCATTCCATGTAACCACAATCCCACTCCACATAGCCTAAGATTGAAATGAATGACCATGCTAAGAAGATTTTAATTATTCCACAAGTAATAAAATATCACAACCCTACTCCACATATATGCTCTTCAGAGCTCTTGAGAGAGTCATGTTGTATTGAATGTCATGTATGTTTTTTCAAAATAATAAATATCTGAATCTGAATCTGAACATATAATAGCCTTAAATCCAAATGAATTTCAGTTTTATTAATGTATGACCATGCAGTAATATATAATTTTATAAGTAATAAATATCTGAATCTGAACCTGAACATAGCCTTAAATCCAAATGAATTTCAGTTGTATGCCCAAAAACAACTTGTACTGTAGATTCTAATCTATCTCTCTATTTGTGAATACAACTACTAGGACTTGAGATTGATGTGGTTTTTCACTGATAACCTTATCAGCAATGTAAATGTATGTTTGATATGAGAGTTCTAACACAAATCCTGACTTGCCATATATTATTCTATTGTTTCACTTAATGTATCTTTAGATAGGTATCTGTGGCGGAAATTTGATTATAGACTGCAGGAGGCGGATTGCTAACATGATTTTTGATGGGCTGTATTTTTTAAGTGATTTTATTAAAATGTATGGTTATCTATCTATGTTTTCTTATCTGTTTTCCCACATTTTTATTTATCTATATTTGTTTGTTTGTTTGTATATGTGTTTGGTTGTTTGTTTGTATATTTGTTTGTTTGTTTGTATATTCATTTGTTTGTTTGTGTTTGTTCGTTTGTTTGTTTGTATATTTGTTTGTTAGTATATTCATTTGTTTGTTTGTTTGTATATTTGTTTGTTTGTTTGTTTGAATAACTGACATCAGTTATATCCAATGTAGTGCACTATGCCCCATATAACTTTGAGTTGACACAATTTACAGAAACTTATTGTAAAAATGCCAGTTATTTTGAATTATGTAACCTTTTTCAACAGTTTGGTTTTAGTTCTTAAAAGAGAGCTTCATTTAATATACTAGGCTCTGACATTTGGGGAGACAGAGGGGTTAATCCATAAAAAGAAACAAATACAATTTTTCTCATTTAGCAGCCCCATAGCCAGGGAGAGTTAAGTGACCCCCTGGCCCAATTTTTTTTTCATATAACCATACAGCCTTTTTTATTAGTAATTTTGAGCTGAAATTGTCAAATTTGAAACCCCTAGATACATGTGTATTTCAAAAACTGAAACCCCCTTGGCAAAAGTTAGCTCCACACAGCCCTGCTTAGCAAACTAATTTTCTCAACAGAGTCTAATATTCCATATCATATCTATGTAGCATCTGCATTGGAAGTCATTTCCAGTTTCATGCTTAAGATTAATTAGAAAAGTTTGATTGATTGAGTGTTCAAAAATAGTCAGAACTTCTGTATGACTTGACACATATGCTAATATCAAGCAGAAATAGAATTTGACATGATATGCGGGTACTAGAACATGAGCCAGGCGAGGCAATTAGCCTCACCAACTTTTATACCTCACTAGCCTCACCAAACCTATAATGTAACGACCCTTGGGCACATCCGTTTGGGTGCTGTAGTGAACCGAGCCAGATACTAGACTCAGAGAGTGTGCTAAATTCAACGCCCCGTACGGGAATCGAACCCAGGACCTTCCGCTCTTGAGTCACATGCTCTACCCCTGAGCCATAAAGGATAGCCACCACAGCTAAGATTGTATTAGCAATATGATATCGAAGGTCATTACAATAATATTCAGATGTGTTTTAACTAAAACTGAAAATGATATCCAAAGGTAATAAAATACTTTGTTTTGCTTCAAGATTCCCCCATCCTACATCAACAACAGGAACTGAAGGTCTGGAATCAAGACTAAAAAATACTTAATTTAGCCTGAATCTTGACATCTTGTATTTTATGTGTTTTAGGTGCAGTAAATGGAATAGTCATAGAGATCACGGGGCCAGATCAGCCTAAGTTGCAGGGTGAAGAAATAAGAGTAACGTGCGTTGCCTCAGATGGCTTCGACAGTAACGCCTACTTTGTTAGGTTCTTCAAGAAGGTCGACGGCAAGGCTGTTGAGATTTCGACCAATCATGTTGTGAAGGAAGAATTCGGCGCCACTGGACGTTATAAAACAGAATTTTCCCAATCTGCTGATGTAGGGACCGTGATTCTAACTATACAAGGTACTATTTATGCTTTTTAAGTTTGTTTATCCCATAGTTAGTTTACCTGTCCTTGGTATAAAATTAACTCAAAGTGTTTATACATGTATGTAGTCAAAGCCCAATATCCCTTATGACAGAATTACCTTATGAATGAGAACTATAGATTTTTGAGCACCCCTCCCCCCATTCCTCCTGACCCATTTCTCCTTGCTGAAGATGAGGGGTATGTAGGGAGGGGGATACGAGGCCTTAAAGAAGTACCATATACGATCCAGAGGCTGATATAAAGCATTTAATAGATGGTATAAAGCTGCAATACTCTGATGCACTGTCTATGAGTTTGAACCACATGTTGCTAAAATAGAAACTGAAAATAAGTTCAATGTACAGAAAAGGTGTTGGCATAATTTTAGTTGTTTCAATTAACAACTTGTCCTAATTAATTATCACATAACTCTAATTGCCTGAATTTAGATTGGATAATGTCATATTATTACAAACAACATATTCACCATGTTCTTTGAAGGTTTGATGTAACATCATTAAATGCTTCAATTAGAACAAATGCTTCAATTAAAATAAATGCTTCAATTAACATAAATGCTTCAACATGTTTTTCAGTATCATAATTCTCCAATTTTAGTAGAGTTTATTACCTATATTGACAACACCTTGTAATCTGCAAACAACATACAGTACATGAGTATGGTGCCCTACTGTATGATTTGAGTATGGTGCTGTATGGTACTTTTGCAGATTGGCTTTATATTGCAAACAACATACAGAACATCAATAGTATGGTGCCCTACTGTACCATTTGAGTATGGTGCTATAATGGTACTTTTGTAGGTTGGCTGTATATTGCTATGTATATTTTTCATCTTGCATGAGGTAGGGGGGGGGGTGGTCTGTTAGAGGCGAAGAGTCAGTAGATATGACCATCCAAGGTGCTCAAAAATAGAAGCTCATTTTCAAGCACAATAAGAAACATTTAGAAACACTTTCAACTCATTTATATATCAAAATTCAATATAACATTTAAGACATACAAAATGTGGATGAACCTCATGTTTTTACTGTATGTACCACATCTAAAATCTCAATTCTGAAAAATACACCATAAAACATATCTGAAAATGGTTTGTCATAGTGCAGTATTTTAAGAATAAATAGTATGCACTTCAAATAGTTCTATTGATAAAGGCTATTTACCAAGCATACAAAATGTTAAAGGAATATGTATTTAGTTTTGTCATTGAAAAATAAAGGTCGTTAGTTGGTAAATAACTCAGTTTGAATTCCCACAGTATTCTATTAAGTGGGGATACGTATTAAAAGGCGGAGGCGGAGAGCTGGGGTCACATGTTGATTTGGATCAAATTGAATAAAGTGACACCACTGTAAATATATGAGTAACTTTATTTGCGGTTAAACTTATTATCAAATCAACCCTCACACATTAGACTATACAGTAAAATCTGTATTGTAGAACACACTTAAGTAGGACACCTCTATTTGTGGAACACTTTTCCAAATCAGTTTACTGTAATAACACAACTTGATATAAGATGAATCTCTTTTACAGAGGCACTTTCAAAGTGGAACTTCAGCCCAAAGTGGAACTTCGGCCCAAAGTGGAACACTATTTTGATTTACAAAAGGTGTTCCATTTATAAAGGTTTAACTTTTCTAAATAGTGCAGAATTTCATTCTGTGTTTTCATTAACTTAATCACACAATTAAATTATGAGTATAACTTCCTGTGACTATTTGCATTTTATTGGAATTTGGATTTCAAGGGTACTTTATGGTACACTCAGAAGTAAGTTAATTCAGGAATTAATAAGGATGTTATCCGGATATAGTAGTGTATAAAATTAAATAAAATTATTTTGATCAATACTTCCAGTGATTGCTTCTGCTTGGGGTCAATTTTATGTTATTTTAATACACCATTCGACGGTATACATGGCAGCAATATTGTCCTTGGGTGGGAATTCGATATGGTACATTGTTCCAAGAGGAGGGAATTTTGAAATGCAAATTCGTTGTCATTTGTTTTGATATCCATTGGTTTTACTCATTGGCTCCATTGTTTTAGCTCATTACATCCATTATTTTAGCTCATTACATTCATTGTTTTAGTTTATTCCATCCATTGTTTTAGCTCATTGCATCCATTTATGAGCTCATTCCATCCATTGTTTTAGCTCATTACATCCATTGTTTTAGCTCATTACATCCATTGTTTTAGCTCAATTCATCCATTGTTTTAGCTCATTACATCCATTGTTTTAGCTCATTAGCTCCATTGCTTTAGCTCATTACATCCATTGTTTCAACTCATTAATATTACATCCATTGTTTTAGCTCATTGCATCCATTGTTTTAACTCATCACATCCATTGTTTTAGCTCGTTACATCTATTGTTTTAGCTCATTACATCCATTGTTTCAACTCATTAATATTACATCCATTGTTTTAGCTCATTGCATCCATTGTTTTAACTCATCACATCCATTGTTTTAGCTCTTTACATCTATTGTTTTAGCTCATTATATCCATTGTTTTAACTCATTACATCCATTGTATTCCATTGTTTCTCATTGTAGATGCTCAGAACGGAGATGATGGGGAGATAGGATGTCAGGCCCTACCTGGACCAAAGGAAGATGTACCAACATACACCAATGTAAAGCTTAATGGTAAGAGACCCCTATAAAAAATATAAAAATTTACATGCATGTAGCTCAGCAATGAGAATGTAACTCCCAACACAATTTTTTTATTTGACACATGTTTCACTTTACAATTTTAGCCATTTTCACATATTATAGAACATTTCATTGTTTGTTTGGATCTGTATTTTTTCCTTAACTTTTTTTTAACATGGGAGTAAATGGGAGGAAAAATGGGACCAAAAAAGTGTTCTGATTAATCCATTCCTGAAATGAAAAATGTTTGGCCTGGTGAAGGATAAGTTAGACATTCAGTTAAACAGTTTAATTCATATTTGACATATTTTTCAAATCACCATACATAAATAGGCTTTGATAAGTGATCCAAAAAGAGACCAATCTTATTGAGGGGGGGTGTATATATTATTCGAACATGACTGTATTCATGCCTTCTATAAACTGTAAACGATGTCAACATTTCACCAGTGGTATATTCGTGAACAATACCCCTGGTAATACGAGTAATGTGTGACGTCATGACGACGGGCCATAGTAATGGCGGACCATAATGAATATTCTAAACATTTTGGTGAGTTTTCATGTTCGAATCGTAATATAGACCTCAGGGGTAATATCGTCGAATTAGGGATAGGCTCAAAAACATGTTTGTGCCTAGCCCTGTGGGGTGTATTCGACGATATTACCCCTGCTCTTTAGTCAATATCTCTTAAGTAACCCCATCTCTATAACTCTATCTTTTCTGTTTTCAGTTCCGGTGAATATTATTTTGAAACAATATGCCCCCGATGCTGATAAATATCGACCAGTAGATGGCGACACTATTGTGTTAAAAGAGAATGTCAAAGGTGGATTTGCATGTGTTGCGAAAGATAGTAACAGTCGTGCTGAAGTGCGTGCTTTCATTGGAGATAAAGATGTCACTGATGAGATGAAACATCACCTACATCACGACCCAGAACAGGTATTTACTAATATAACTATTACATGAAATGAATGCCCAAGTCCTGCCAATATTGGCCAATCTTGGGAGGTATTATAATTAGGCAAGAACAAGGGTATATTTCGCATAGTGACATGGTTAGTTTTATTAATGATGTCACATATGTGAATGAAACGTGACATAGGATATTGTCATGGTTATTAAGGAAAGAGGGATATATTAGTGTAATCGGGCAATATAAAGTTATTCACCAGGAGGGATTTGATATGGGGAATATCACAAGGATGATATAAATATTTCCTGAGGGAACGCAATGGCCGAGGGAAATATTGATATCATCCAAGGGATATTCCTCATATCATCCCCGCAGGTGAATAACAACCTCATACCATGGTCAAGAAAAATTTGAAAAATAAAAATTTTCGGCAAAATAAAAATGTTTCAATTCAATACAATTCAATGTACCTCCAAAAATCGTACAATAAAAAATTAGGTAATCCTAGAATGTTACACAAAAAGTTACATATTTCTCTATACAAAAAGTTTTTGGGGGGCCCTGTAATTCAGAACCTTCAGCTTTCCTGGCCTTAAAGCATTCCATTTCTCTTTCAGGTGAAACTTGGAGCCCTTATTCAGACCACTTATAAATCAGAGCTTAAGATGCAAAAAAGCGACTGGGATACGACGCTAAATGGTGACGTCATCCGCTGTGAGGCTAAAGTACCTGGATACGAAACAGTCTCGGCTCAAGCTGTTGTAGAAATGCAATGTAAGTATAGCAACCAGGCATATTAACGGAAACTTTGTTTACTTAAGAATTCTTATATTAATCATTTGCTGTAACCTTGGAAACAATGACATCATAGTTAGTGATCGTTGGTCTTTTGGAATTCTTAACTGAAGCAGTTATCCATTTAGATGTTGGTCTTATGCTTTTGTAGTATATTATACATGCTCCCAATTTCCTTGAGAATGAGGGTTTTACACGTTTGAAGCATTTTTTAAGGAAACTGGTTTTGTTAAAAAATTCATTTTCAAAAGTCTTCTTTTTATAGTCGTGTAATATATCAATGATCTGAATTCACACTTGCAATTTTATTTTGCAAGCTCTTTTGATTGTCTTTTGAGATGGGAGGGCATCGCATCATATTGTTTTGATAAAGACACTGCTTGTTTCAAACTTCAATATGCTGAAATCAGAGACATATAAAATCTGTTTTTAATGTCTCTGCTGAAATTCAATATTGTTTTCATTCGAATTAATTTAGAAATTAGAATAGTGTATCATTAAGCTTTGTACTTGCATTGAACATCATTATTGATTTTCGTTCCAGTAGACTATAAATAATCACTTTAATTGAAATTTTCGATAATTTAAAATCAGCTGAACTAGCTAAATATAAAATTCTGTCTAATTAACATTTAATGCTACATTTGAAAGAGGATTTTCGATGCATGTACTCAAGCATTTCATGCACATCCAAATGTTTTAATCTGCATATATTCACTCTACTATACCTAACCCCTAGAAATGCATAAGATGCTCTGTTTGTCCAATTGTATTGTTTAGTATTTGAAAGTACCTTATTAGTATCTAATGTCATCCGATAAACCATTTATAAAGAACAGACAAATAAAAACAAATAACATAATCATTACTAATAAGCCAAATGGGTTGCTCGTGAACATTCAAAGCAAGGTATAGTAGAGTGATATTGATATGTAATACAAATGTAATATGCTAAAATGGGATTTCATGATCCATGGCCACTGTTTTAAAGAGTGAGCAATTAAATCAATGAAAATGTATTTTGGAAAAGTTATTAAAATATTCAGAAAACTAAATTTTATTTACAGTCCTGAATAATTACTATACAATATCTTACTCTAAAAATACAGAAAATACAGAACACACATTTAAATTGATCGTTAACCCATTAAATTGGTTGTAGGGCTCAGGAAAGATCAAGGACATAAAAATAATATTTCAGTGTGAATGGAACTAATATAGCCTGTACATGCTATCTTTACAGCTCTTAAATTAATGTGAAATACCCATAGTTTAATGTACCATATTTAAAAAACCTCTACCTGAAAAACAAGCTATCATTCTTCATTCAAGAAACATTTTACACTCGTTTATTGTTAATATTAATACAGGTGCATAATTGCATTGAGGTTACCATGACAACCGCTGAAATGTGCATCAGGTTGGTTTAATGGGTTGATCCTGTTGAACCTTGTTCTCTGCGCGATGATGATGACCTTTGTATCAATTTTCTTTGAACAAAAGCCCTGCCTGTAGAGTAAGGGATGTTCTCAAAATTTGTAAAAGATTTTTATTTATAAAATAAAAAAATGAATGAAATGAAATTAGAATTGTAGCTTTGAAAATATCAATATGAAATATAAAAATTATATTCCAACTTGGTATTTGGAAATGAACCAGAATAATCTGATATTATACATGCTGCATACGCTTTATCTGTATTTATTAAAAAGAATATTTAAATATGAAAAATATTGAATCGAACTGATTGGCTTCATTTAATAAAAAATACACTCCCCTCCATAAGTTTGGCAACTGGAAGTTTTATTGTAGAGCATATCAAAACCTGTCATTGTTTCAATCTTAATTTTGTTCTTTAATTACAATTCACAGCCTATATAAGTCGGCGCCGTTTGGCATCGAAAACATTCGGCGCTGTTTCGGTACCGTTTCGACACCGTTCCGGCACCGAAACCTTTCGACACCAAAATTTGCCACCGGACTAGTCAGTCCATTTGGTGCTGAAATGGCACCAAAATTTGGCACCGAAACGGCGTCGAAAATGAGATTGCATTTTGGGTGTGTAGTTCAGTAATTTACAAGAAAGGACGATTCTCGGTTTGGAGAACGAAGTTCATCAATCTAAATGAGCATTATCCCTGCTTCGGACAAATTTGATTTTTTTACATAATATAGATTTGAATGTCCTCTTTTGAATAGTCATAATTTAATTTGGGTAATATTTCTAGATTTTTCTCAAAAAAATATTAGCACAGTACACTGATGAACTTCTTTCCCCAAATCGAGACTTGTATTTTATTAAAATCGGTCTAATTGAGCGTTATCCCTGCTCCAGACCAACTTGATATTTTTACATCTTGTAGATTTAAATGTCCTCTTTTGAATATTCATAGTTTAATTTGGGTAATATTTCTATATTTTTCATGAAAAAAATATTAGCCCAGGAGACTGTTCTCCAAACCGAGAATCGTCCTTTGATGATTTTTTAAAATTGCCAAACACAGTATTTTATAATAAGTGATTTAAAAGGGATTTCTCATTGCCAAACTTATGGAGGGAAGTGTAAAATGCTTTATGTTGTTTCAGATGCCCCTAGATTCACCTGCAAGAAAGAGCAGTCTGCCAAACTTGGCAGCAATTTTGAGTTGATGTGTGAAGTAGACATGAAACCAGCAGCCGCTGTCTTTGCCAAATGGTAGTAATAACTATGTTTATTTTATTGATGTATATATTTATTTTGCACCCTTTTGGATTAGCTTTCTCTTAATTTGTTAATGAGTTTATTTATCCTAAAAGTGATGATTTTTTTGATAAAATATAAATGGTCCTCCACAAGAGCTCATATAATTAAAGAAAAACAAAGCATGGCTGAAAACAACTCTGTTCCCCCTGCTTTACTCCATCCTTCCCTTAGCTTTTAATATTTTATTCACCTATTCCAGGTATTGGGGGCCTCCCGACAACAGAACAGAAGTTGCATTCACAGACTCTACTGGTAGATTTACAGCTAATGTAGGAGAGGTACTCTGTTCACTATCATTTTTTAAACGGGTCAACTTGACTTTTTGAATGGCTCTCAATAATATAATGATAATGGGATACAGATTGTTTGAATGGAGGATTTTTTAGAGGTACCAAAGGTGTTCGCTTACACAGGTTTGACCGCATTTTAAATTATTTATATTTTCACTATTTATTTTGTAGGCTGATGGAACAAAAACACCCTTTGGTCTATCAATCTCAAACGTCTCACCTGAAGATGTCAACGTCATGTACCATTTAGAGGTTTCTAATGGCGTTGCCATAGAATCCCAGGAAATCATGTTACTACAGGATAAAAGCGTCGAGCCTAAGCCAGGTAAGTCGATGTTTCATTTTTACGATTTTGGGATTGTGTCAGCTTTTAGAAAATGCCTATGGTGGGGATGATGTCGAAATGTCTACATTTGGCGGAGAACAAGTTAAATTCGTTTGAAGGAGGAAGTAAATAATTGATTCAATAGAGAAAGTAGACAGATTTTGTTGTTTGGCAATGACTGGGTTAAACATACTGAAATTTACATTGTTTTTCTACAACTTTTTGTACATCCCCTGTACATAAAAGTGAGTTTTATCCCCTAGTGACATCTTTAAACGATGCATAGAGTTAAGGGCTATGACTAATTAGTGATTTTTGTCACTTTTATAGATGTCACTAGTTGTATACATTGCTGCTATATGCGTTTGAATTAAGATACACTCTTCTCCAAATATGGAAATACTAACTCCCCATTGGCTAGCATGTTAAAGCCTGTTTCTCTTTGAATTTGAATTTCTTTATAAGGATATACCAATAGATAGAAAATTAACTGATAAAATTTGGTCCTTTTTTAAATGCCAAATATAAACAGGCTTTTACAAGCAATAATTGTGATACTTACTTATAAATACATACATGCTACTAGTTTTCTGCACTGCAAGGGAAAATCCAAATTCTGCAAGCAATAGTAGCAAATTCTGTAAATATCAACTGTTGCCGTTTCGGTTCTTTTAACAAACTGTAGAAAATACTTGCAGGATTTTTAAAATGACCACATTTCTGCTGCTGTATGCAAAAATGGAAAACTAGCATACACTGTGTATGTGAATGCTTATAGAATGCATTTTAAGAATGGATTCAGTATTACTTATATATTTTTTGGCCCCTGAGTGAAAACCAAATCTGAAAGCTAGCTACGCCCCTGAACACTTCAGAGTCCGATGACCAACTGACATAATGTTAAATGGACCTCTTATAAGTGAACACCTCCAAACTGGAACATGTTTCCGAGATACCAAGGGTGTTCCACTTTTACAGGTCGAACTGTACTGCAATTATTAGATGCTTTCATGATCTTGATATTTTCTATGCAATAGCGATCATAGATCATAGATGACTTGGGATTTATTACTATGTGTATTTTAGAGCCAACAGAAGACCCTGAGGTTAAAGAAGGTATTTTTCCCTAATCAAGGGATTCTATAGTATACCTAGTTAATGTGTGCCGAGTGCTTGCTTCTGCTACTAATAATTTGACACTTATAAACTGACATCACTAAGTTGACATCATCAGTAGTTGGCTAGGAATAATTACCCCCCAAAATTATAAAATTTATCTAAAAAATGTATCTGGTTTTAAAATTTTTATACTGTTGTAATTATTAAAGAAGTTTTTCCTCACCTTATTTGATCATTATTAAAGCCTCACCTATTTTTGACCCTAGCCATGTAAGTGTCATCATTCCCTTCCCAATTCAATTATTCATAAATTGTTTCTTTCTGGCGATCATTTTGGACAGGCAAATGAAAATCAGGTTTGATGAGGAAGGCAAATTCTGGGTGAAAGAGGCAAATTGGATAGATGAGGGAGGTAAAATCCTATTGGATGAGGGAGGCAAATTGTATAGATGAAGGAGGATAATCATGTTTAATAAGAGAGGCAAATCTTATTGGATGAGGGAGGCAAATAATGTTTGCTGAAAGAGGCAAATTGGTTGGATGAGGGAGGCAAATCATGTTTATTGAGAGAGGCAAATCTTATTGGATGAGGGAGGCAAATCATGTTTGCTGAAATATTCAATATTATATTTGATAGATTAGGGAGGCAAATCATGTTTGGTAGGAAGGCAGATTAAGTTGAATGTGGGTGAGATAAAGGCCTGATACAATAAGACTACGCTAGAAAAATGCTGATGTCTCCTTTATTTTGAACTAACTTATACCACAATTCTTAGCAGTTTGAGCCTAACATACAGTGATCTCCCCAGTATTAAAGCAAGTGGGCACAGCATCCACCTGAGATTTTGAAAAAGGCTTACATCCACCTGAAAATCCATTTGCAACTTCTAGAAAATGAGAAAAATCATGAAAAATTGTCATATTTTGGCCATTTTTGGTCTGAATTGTGAAAATGAGAATTTTGTACCCACCTGACAAAAAATCCTAGCGAGATCACTGTATATCACCAATCCAAACTTCTCGGTGGTCTGATTGTGAGATTATTCATCCAAAACATGATTATTATGATGAGCAAAGTCACTTAAAAATGTCCACCAAACTGCTAAGAGTTAATCTACATTTGATAATGTAGGTGGTTAATTCTTGCTTGAGATTTGATATCTTCTATTGCGTTATGTAGCTTTTCATATAGCTAAGCATTGTCTGATACTTAGTTTACCACAAAGGGGCTGCAAAGACTAATGACAAATTAAGAGATAGGTTCTAGCTAAATGTTGTCACAATTTTTCAGTATTTTTTCTCTAAAACCACGTGGGGACCAGTGTCCAATCCTTGTCTTTCCTAAAAAATAAAGCAGTTCTGATTTTATTTTATGGCAATTCTAATGAATTTGGATATTTCAGAAAATAATGTTATTAGATTGGAAGGGGAATTTCGGCATTGTGTTTCTAAAAGAATGCTACATTCACTAGTCTTTGCTGCTTCTTTAAGATCATGTATATCACTTATGATTTATGCATCAACTTTATTTAGGAGTTAGTTTTAAGACACTCACACTTATTATTTATTTGCTCCTTAAATGTTTATTTTATTTTTATTTTGTGGTGTACAGGTCATACAAATTTCTGGTCAGAATTGAATGAAGCATAAGTTGACATGCTATTATCCTGTTTATGCTGAAAAATGGGCTCATATAAAGTAACCGACCCATGAGTATTCTACATTTGAAACATGATTGCCCAATTTGCAAGGATGGATTATTTCCATTGATCAGTTGGTTAAACCAGTTCTCCCAGATAAATATAAATTTCTGTTTGCTATTATTGGCTAAGAGTAAAAAGTGATTGTCATGGCAATGACACAACTTTGAAATGTATGACCAGGCTGGTTCTTTTGTTTACGTTGCATCTTAAAAAAGGTTAAGGACCAGTCTTTTTCCTCATAGGTTTACATGTTAAACCCCCTGTACGTATGTTTGAACTCTGTTTTCTAAGCACGAAACGAAAGAGAAACTGAAAAAGACTGGTCCTGAACATTTTTTGAGGACTATAGTATAAGGCACTTTTTGGTTTTTGGTTTTGATGTTTAGAGACATATCAATATTTATTTGTCTTTGATTAGAATATGCATCCACTATTATAATGTTGTTTACTATTATTTGTAGCTTCTGGGTTTTTCTTTCTGACAGAGATTTTAACAACAACACATGAATCAGGTTAAAAGCACGATATCACTGGAACCCTGTTATTTGCATCATTCTCCTTTACTTATGTTTCTCCAGTTTTATTTTGTTTATTACTGAGCATATTTGGCTATTTTTGTATGCCCCTATTGGCTATATATACCCTCACTGGCTAAACTTGTTTGCCCCATACCCCATAAGCTATATTTGTTAACCCTCATTGGCTGTTTTATATGCCCTTATTGGCTGTTTGTATGCCCTCAGTGGCTGTGTTTGTTTGCCCTCATTGGCTGTGTATGTACGCTCTCATTGACTTTGTATTCTATACCTAATTTGTTATTATTTGTCCTCATTGGCTATGTTTGTAAGCTCTTATTGGCTCTCTGGTTGTATACCTAATTTGTTATACATGTATACCCTAATTGGCTGTATTTGTATGCCCTCTAACATATACCTAACTTTTGTGTATGCCCTTATTGGCTATGTTCGTATGCACTCATTAGCTGTTTTGTATGCCCTTGTTGACTGTGTTTGTATGCCCCAAATTGGGTATAGTTTTATGCTCCATTTGGTGTTTGAATAAATAACTTGCTAGGTGTGTATGTCCTAATTTCCCATGTCTGCCCCCATTCTCTGTACCCATCATCTTTACCCTTCTGAACATCTGCTGTAAATTGAAGTTCTAGTTCAATATTCAAAGAAAGTTCTGTAAAAACTTACCTTTCTTGATGTATCTGACATCTGTGAGTCAGTTGTTGAAGAAAAATGTATATATCATGTAGATGGTACATTTTGTACTTGAAATGACCACATCTCCAACCCAACAAAATGTCAACATTTTCTAGATTGTATAAATCTTATGTTTGTCTCATTTGTATGAATCTTTGTTTTCAGAAAAGCCGAAAGCTGACGAAACAAAAGCAGCATCATCTCAAGTTGCAGCCTCACTTACATTTGTCATCGCCATGGTTGCAGCCTCCATCTTGAATCATTAGAACTTGCCATATAAGGACATGGAGACCATATTTGGAGAAAGTGCCAAGCACCTACGAATGTCATATGACCTGTTCACTTTGTTAAAAATTCATTGGATTGTACACTTTTAGACTGTACATGCCATGTTCAACAGTTGTTTGACTATACACCTCAAGTGTAAGACTATTTACATGTTATGTTCAACATATGTTTGACTATACACCTCAAGTGTAAGACTATTTACATGTTATATTCAACATATGTTTGACTATACACCTCAAGTGTAAGACTATTTACATGTTATGTTCAACATATGTTTGACTATACACCTCAAGTGTTAGAATATACATAACATGTACCCTCTTGTTTAATATTCTAAGATGTACCTCAGCTAAAGGTATCGCAGATGTAAACGTGTTTTAGATACACTGGAAAATTCATTTCAATATTTATTTATCAAGCATTTACAGTATATCATTTTAGCAAAGGTATGATTTGTAGGGATGTTCCTTTTGAAGAACATCTTTTTGTGAGGATATCTTTTTTATCCATTTTCTCCATAAATGAATGGCCATGCATGAGGGTATTCATCTCTTTTAAATGCTAACCTCTTGATGACCAAGAGTGACAAGACCTTGAAACTCAGAGTGACGAGAAAATCTATCACAATTTTTGCACTAAAATTGCTCTTATTTCAACAATTTTTATCCAATTTACACAGAAATTGATTTAGAATGTGTATAAATGATCTCTGTCGTCTAATTTTACTTAAATGAGCATCATCTGTTGTATATCATTGTATATACAGGGTGGGCCAAAAAAAACGCCACTTTTTTTCAAGACACTACAACTTTTTTATTTTCCAACCTACATACCCCAAATTTTGCAGTTATATAGTGCCAACGGTTCTTAGTAATAATATAATGTAACAAGTCCTCCAACTTGGATTATAGTTGATCTAAAAGGGGAGTTCAATTGGTCCGTCACCATAATTGATGATGAATTTTAGTTTTAGTCGCCTTGCTGATATTGCAGTATCAATGAAATGTTCGCTAAGTTTTTTCAACCTGTCTTAATTGCCAGCTTTAGTTGAGCAATTTTCTAGATTGGGTGCCTTCATACAATCTCCTGGAGACCTTCCCATACCCTACACTCACTGGGGTTTGCATCAGGGCTATTAGCTTGGCGATCATCAGGCCGTATCAGATCAGGAACATTTTGCAAATGCTTATTTCTCATGGCACACCACATGTTTAAGTGAGACGCTGGTGACATATTTTAGTCAAGTAAAAGTGTATAATTCATGATCAATGGCTAGATAACAACCTCAAGTTTCATTTGGTATGCAAATTATGATTTAATATCAAAAATTAAAAAAGTTATAGCGTTTTGAAAAAAAAGTGGCGTTTTTTTGGCCCACCCTGTATATGGAGTAAAATATCAAAAGCTGGCAAAAATGAAAAAATCTCTGGTTTCAACTGATTTTAAAGCCTGGGTTCAAGAGGTTAAGCGAAACTACATAACATTTCTATATATTTGAGTATGAAGAAATTGTGAAGAGGTAACAGTTTCTGATACATCATTTAGATGAATTATTTCATGTTATAGTGATTGATTTTTTATGAGAAACATTATTATGTGTTCGGATATATGTTGACAGGGTGAAAAAGGTGCATTTTTTTGTTTGTTTTGTTTAACTTTAAGCATTTTGAACAAAGTTTTAAACAAAATTATGCGGAAGTTTTTAAATTTTGAAATGTAAAACATCAACTTGAATTTACATTGTGATAAACATCTACATATGACTTAAAGAAATAAATAAGTACAATTTTAATATGATAATAGATGTGAATTTAACATACAACAAGATGTAGATAATCGTAATGTAAAAATAATGAAAATAATTGTAAAATATATTTTGTAGTGTACATTGAATTGTGGCTGTAATTGTAAAATAGGAATTGAATATTTTGTGTACATTTTTGATGTGGTATTATCAAATCCATAGTCATTTTAGAACATAGAGTAGGATTAATGTATTCATTGCAAATGCTTTTATAAACTTTATATAGAACAAGAGGGGGAGAAACCCCAGGGTTCAAAGATGACACGCCCTTATAATGTAAATCTGTATTGAGATGACATCGTCGCTGATTGGTTTAGCGAGTCGATCGTTGATTGGTTTAAATCTAGGTCAATTTGAAAACTTTGAAAACCAAGATGGAGGGAAGTATAGATATACATACTTCCGGGAAAGGAGGTGCGCAAAGGAGGAAATCGTATGTCATCAATTGAATCATGGGTTTTCCCTCCTCTTATATAGTACCATCATATGTACAGTAAAACCTGTATATCCGAACACCTCTCTAATCTGAACACCTCTCAATGTGAACACTTCTTGGTCCCTTTTTGATCGGCTATAGATCGGCTATTGATGGAAAAAACAAAATGTGAACACGTTCAATCAGAACATTTTTGGCTGGTTTGAGTGGTATCTGATGTAGACAGGTTATACTGTACTTGATTTAATATCCATTGGCACATGCTATATTAGGAGTCTTTGATCGTTCAATGTTGCTCTGTTGAAAACTTCTGGGACCTTTATAACATATACAAGTAGGCTTTTGCTATATATTTAAACATTCCCACAGTGATATTCTACACATGTACATTCCTATATTGTGGATCAGGATTTTTACATTATTTATAAAGGAATGTGTTTTGATAAAGTTTACAATTTCAACGTCTGATATTAGTTAGCAAGACCAATTGAGAATCATGTATCGTTAACTTATAGATTGTAAATTACTTGAATTTGGCGCCTATTTTATTTGGTGATTATTCAACATTTCCTCAAAAATCGCTTTCAGCAAGAATTTGACAAATCAAAAAAACTCCAATATTTGGTAAATGGTGAAAATATGAAACAAGATAGACACTAGTAATCAGTAAATAGTACACATACACCAAATAAAATACCGCTAAATTGACCCAATTTATAGTTTTTGCACTCATGAAAAAAACATTAGTAAATTGATTAATATATAAATGTAGATTATCAATCTACCAGGAGTATATCATGAAATATAGGCTATAAAAATACAAAACTAAAACAAAAAAGAGTTTTTATTTTGAACACAACGCTCTTAAAATTGGAGGTAATTCTGTGATGTTACAGCCATGATATGCTCCCATCTCATGATATGCTCCCATCTCATGATATTCTCCCATCTCATGATATTCTCCCATCTTATCTCATGTTTTGAAATGTAGTATGCTTAAATAGCCGCATGGCAATATTATCAGCTGTAATAAATTTATTGTGTATTTTATACATTAAATTCTGATTTTTGTTGATAATACTTTCCAATAAGAGTCATGTACAATAACAATGATGTATATTCCCCTCAAAAGTTTGGCAATTATGTACACCTCAAATGTTTGACAACATGTACACTTCCCTCCAAAGGTTTGGCAACGATGTACACTCCCCTCAAAAGTTTGGCAATGATGTACACCTCAAATGTTTGACAACATGTACACTTCCCTCCAAAGGTTTGGCAACGATGTACACTCCCCTCAAAAGTTTGGCAATGATGTACACCTCAAACGTTTGACAACATGTACACTTCCCTCCAAATGTTTGGCAACAATGTACACTCCCCTCTCCAAAAGTTTGGCATCAAGGTTCTATTTTGCTAAATATGACTTAAAACCCATACTGAATGACTTGAGTTATTAAGATTTGTTTGGATAACCTTTTGTGGCTCAACCTGTACCATTGTTTCCTTAGCTAACCAAAAGGTGTCCAGGAAATGTTTAAAGGGGCAACAAAGACTGTAGAGAGAAATTTCGAAAAAGGTCAATATTTGACTTAACATATTCTTTGACATACCTATTTTCTTAAAATGTATGGATAAACTATCAATTTCACCATTAAGAAGTGTAAATTCAGTTTAAAGCTTCTATAAAGGGAGTCCCACTTATAGATTTTTAAGATCCACCACGTTTCAAGAGGAATATCAGCTGAAATAAAGTTCATCCAGGGGGTTTCTTTGTAGATAATAGAAATATATGTTAGTCTTGATGAAATATCCAAACTTAAATATATTTTGACACTGGTTGATGATCGTTGAATGGCCCCCTGCACTAATTGTTGCACCTTAAATATATTTTGACACTGGTTGATGATCGTTGAATGGCCCCCTGCACTAATTGTTGCACCTTTAATTTATTTTATTTATGCACGTTTTTGCATGAGTATACTCCATGAATTATGTAAGTAAGAGTAAATTATCCAAACTTGATAAAAAAGAATCACAGAGTAACTAGTTGTTCCAACAAACTACACAATGAAATTCTGATAATATATCATAGAAACTTGAAAAAGTTGTGGTTGCTATGATGATGGAGAATGATTACTACCTGGAATCTACAGCCTCGGAATCATTGTCAGTAGACAAGGTATTCCATTGATGAAAAAATTTAACACCATTTTCTTCAATTTTTTATAATGTTTTTTATTTCATAGATGAAATAGATACAAAAGTTTATTCGGTAAACTATGTGACACAAAGCATTTATATGACGTGTTAGTCATTATTTTACATTGAAAGCACAATGGTATATTATATAAAAAAGTATTAAAACTGTACAGTATAAAACAGAAAAACCAAAGTCAGTTGTAATGGAGAAACCATTGTACCCAAAACAAACAGAAAATGACAACTTTTTAAATGATATCAACAACCAATTAGAGGCTGTGATCTGGCTGGATATGACACAGCGTATTATTGCCTATGACCTTGTCTTTGTCATAGCATGCAATGGTGTGTCAGTCTACATCATAGCATATACTATTGTGGCTAGGACCTAGTCTATGTCATTTACTGTAGTATTGTGATAAGGACTAGACTTTCATCATAGCATGCAATATTTTGGTTCTATTCTTTGTCATAGCATTCAATATTGTGGTTAAGCTCTACGCGGACTGTATCATAGCATGTAATATCGTGGCTATACCTAGTGTTTGTCATAGCATGTAATATCGTGGCTATACCTAGTCTATGTCATTGCATGTAATATCGTGGCTAGGACCTAGTCTATGTCATTGCATGTAATATTGTTGGCTAGGGCCTAGTCTCTGTCATAGCATGTAATATTGTGGCTAGGGCCTAGTCTATGTCATAGCATGTAATATTGTTGGCTAGGGCCTAGTCTCTGTCATAGCATGTAATATTGTTGGCTAGGGCCTAGTAGTCTCTGTCATAGCATGTAATATTGTTGGCTAGGGCCTAGTCTCTGTCATAGCATGTGATATTGTGGCTATACCTAGTCTATGTCATTGCATGTAATATCGTGGCCAGGACCTAGTCTATGTTATGGTGTGCAGTATCATGAGGGACTCAGTATATACCATAGCTAGCTGTTGTATTGTCACCGGTTGTCATATTCTGCACCGTATCCACCTGTGTTAGGTTGTGTGTTGGCGCGAACGGGAAGGTACCAAGATCAAATACGGCGTAACCCCAGGAATTAATCGCCAAATTAATCACCAATATACAGATTACGTTCATCATGAAACCAGCTTTCACCTACAATAACAAGGTTTAATATAAAATATGAGATACGATCTCCCTCGTAAGTTTGTGAACTGAAAATCCCTTTTGGATCACATACATGTATCAAAGCCCGTTTACGTTTGGCAATTCAAAAAGTTCAAAAAGTCATTTTGAGCTATCAGAGCCTCTATATTGTGCACCTGATTAAGGTATAAAATTAAGATTCACTCATTGCCTCTAATATAATATCCAAAGAAAACTTTAGGTTGCCAAACTTATGAAGGGGAGTGTATAATCATATTCCATTATGTAAAATCAGTCAGAATTGTTAATAGTCTCGTGAAATCAGATCATCTCGATCTCACCTTACATTACATGATATACAAGGTGTCCATAATGTTTCTACATTTTACACAGACTTAGTATTATAAAGAGCGTTTATGGACACTCCGTATTAGTCCAACAACATTAGACCCAGTCAGGGGCCTCGTTTCTTATCCGACATGTCTTCCAGCCCCGAGTAAGATCAGATTAATGAATAAGCCGGATTAAGTTTAACTTGTTGAACTAACCCCATCTCAGAATAATGACAATATTTCTTACCATGTCCATAATCTTGAGTCGGCCAAAGGCGAAAACAAAAGCATTCGCGCTTGTTGCTACTGGTAACATGAAGGAAAGGTTGGTTCCCATGGCAGCCGGCCACATAATATACAGGGGATGAACTTTAATTTCGACAGCCTGAAATGGATTGCAAGTGGTTTCTATGAAAATGGCTGTATTTAAGTCGCTGTTGTGTTCCAGATGATTAATTAATTCAGCTCGAAGCAACCTGAAGGCAAATTACCATCTAAATAAATTTGTGTTACCCTGGTTACCCGCTATTTTCATGGCTCAATTAAGGATATCGATCAACATAATCACTGATTGTGCCATTGTTGGGCGTGAGTTTGAATTTATGTTTCCATTATTAGTCTATATCATGCGTATAACAAGAATAAGACTGAAAAGAAGACAATTCTTGAATCGTACTATTTTCTAGCATGATAAAACCTGTTAATGGTTCAATCTTTAAACTGATCCTTTTTGCGAAAATCTTTGAAAAAGTTGATGAATTTATTCCACTCGGCAAACAAAATCAGGCTCGCGATGATCCAGATGTAAACTTCAGATTTCCAAACTTATGGAGTATATTGACTTACCAGTGCTCCCAAAACAGGCATTAATAGCGTAGATGTAGCTGTGTTGCTAATAATCTCAGTCATCATAGAGGCCGACATTGACAATATGAGTACCATGGCCCATGGGGGCAGGTGTGTCAGCATTCTCAAGCCTAGTGCCAGCCAATCCGAAAGTCCAGAAACCTATATAAGAAGGCAGATTTGATATATAGTAAACCAGTGTCATCTGAACACCATTAGGGCCAACCGAAAGTGTTCGGATTGGCAGATGTTCGTATTTTAAGGTTTGAGAACATTGCAAATCAGATCACAAATGGTGTTCACATTGAGAGGAATTCAGATTAGAGGTACTCTGCATGCTCGGGTAATAGAAATATATCTTTCTACTTTAATACACTCAAAAAATCCCGATCCATTTTTGTGAACGAAGAATCGATGGTACATTGGCTAAATTTGTCGAAGCAAACTTTGCATGTTTGTCAATGAAAGTGTAAGACTATGTTGAACATTAAATCAACGAGGGATGATTTCCAGGATTCGTACATAATGAAAGCAATCGTAAGGGAACAAACAATCAACGTGTACACTGACACCCCAATTTACCGATGCCGTGTCTCACCAAAGAAGTGGGACATTTCAAAATAAAAGATGTCCCCTTATTTGATAATGTGTATACGTGATGCAACTGTAGCAGAATTGAATAAGTTTAATCAAACTCATATACGTTAGGTTAATAAATGCCATTTAGAAAGAACAAGGCTCCAAGAACAGATCCTTGTGGCACACCAGCGTTGATGAATTGTTAATTACTGTGTTTGCATTTTGTGAAAATGTATTATGTAATTCAAGTCGTAAATATTGCCTGCAATACAAACATTGAATCTAGAGGCAAACATAGTACATCAACGACATGACTATTTCGTCATACCTTTATAAAATTATATACACATATAGTAGTAGCTATATACAGGGTGTTCAGGAAATAAAGATAATAATGTCATTACTTTTTTATTTATTCATAGATTTCATTAAAATTTGCAGGGATTATAGGGATTATATATTTAAACTTACTTTTGTAGTTTCAGCTTCAAGCGATTTGATTTGTCATTTCTGTGGTTGGCATAGCAACGCGAGTAGCGCTAAGGCGGTGCACATGGAATAACTGCAGTAGTTTCTGTGTTACATTTAGCATGGCAAACCGATTTTGACTCCATATTTAAAGCTTTCTTGGTGCATCTCCATGATAAAATTCTTCTATTGTTTTGATTTATGATATAAAAGTCAAATAAATGCTCTTTTAATGATATTCAATGTGATTTTCATGACTTAATGCAGGCATTACATAGAAAGCGACCCGGGATGCAATTTCTCTTCCACTTGGACAATTCCCCCTCCCATACTGCTGCCACAACCACTAAGAAATTGAGCAGCTGCGATTAGAGCAACTCAAGCATCCACCTTATTCACCCAACCAAGCGCTAAATGATTTATACTTCTTCGCTGAATCAAAACGGTACTTAAGAGGACATGCATTTGAGAATACTTATGCCATACGTTCACATGTGTTAAACAGATTTCAGGAAATGAGTCAAGAAGAATTCTGTGAAGTATTTGAAGAAGGTTCAAGAGGCAAAGAGTTTGTGTCTAAAATGGAGGAAATTATGTAGAATAAATTGAAAAATTGGCAAAGAATTTCAGGCTTATAGTTATAACTATCTTTAAGCATCCATTTTAAGTCATAAACATGATAGAATCTCTTTTTAAAACATTTAAAACATGCAAATATACTGCAGTTATTCCACCTGCCCCGCCTTAGCGCTACTCGCTATGCTATGACAACCACAGAATCGACCAATCAAATCACCTGAAACTGAAACTCCAACAATGAGTTAAAATAAATTGAAACTATAATCTCTGAAACTTTCAATGCAATACATGAACAAATAAAAGTTATGACATTATTATCTTTATTTCCTGAACACCCTGTATAGTAGTATTTTTCTTTATTTATGTTCCACGCACTAAAACAGATACTGTACACATAATATAACATTAAACAATACATAAAAATTAAACAGTGTCTGGTCGATGCCGACCTATGAGAGACAGTGGAGTGTTACATTATGCTACGCCGTTTGGCTTGCATTTTTATAATTGTTTTACCAAGTGTTCATTAAACAGTCTTTTCATTCTTTATCTAACAGTATTTCACTAAACTTGTTTGCATATCAAAGTCATTATAATCTAACATTTTGGCAAACAGACTAGATCGTTCAGTTTTATAATTGACACTCTACTAAAAAGTTAATTTCTGTTTCAACTGACTGACCACACTGAAACAACCTCTGGTCTAGGTGAGTTGCGGTATATCTCCCAGTTTCAATCTTTATGGGCAGGGATAAACAAGACGAAACATAAAGTTTGGACAATCCCATGAGTGATTGCACTGATAAAACTTGATTTCAATCAACCATCTGATCAATAAATTTTTAATTTTTCTCTTCAACCATTCGACAGCGCCATCTTTTGGGTAATACCTACCTGAGCTGCTTTTGCAAGCGCAACACCGCCACCTATTAGCAAAATGATGTGCCAAGGCATCTTGCTATGGACCGTCTCCCAGTCAAGGATTGAGGCTACTTGATCAAGCTTGGGATCTATCACACGAAAAACAAATGCAGCAAAAATGTTATACATAAAGAAAAACGTAACACAACAATATCATACGACAATAAGTCGATAGAAATACTTTTAAAATAAAGATGGCATGGTAATCGATCTGTGTAGAAATATTGTTGGTGCTGCCATCTTTATATCGGCCCAGTAGAACCCTATGCAGTGCATACGACAGTACAATACTCATAGCATAGCACGACATAAAATACAATAACACAAAATAATTCAAGGGAATTCAGACATTACAATGAAAAGTGTACAATGTAATGTGATCTACGATGCGACACGATAAAATGCGCTAAATCAGTGGTACAATATTGAATAAATAGTAATAGTAAATTATACTTTTCACTTACTATTTCTCTTGAATATTGTTGGGATATGTGCTGGCCAGACGAACAAAGAAAATGCCAGCAACATGGCTGCCGTAGCATCGGTGACATAGCTTCATCAGAATAAAATGTGAATTAAATGTTTTGTTAACAAGAGTTACCGCGACATAAATCAAAACTCCTGTTCCTGGTTTTGCCCTGTTAAAGTGTAACGGAAACTTATTATAATTCGGACAGCGAACCCACGTGGCCTGTTAAAAATTGGGGAACGCAAGACGGTATTTTTCAATTTCGACGTAGACTTGCCGAAGGCCAAATGTGACGAACCCTAGATGTATTTTATCGAAAACTATTTTCTGTTATAGATACTTACCCTTGTTTAAAAGCGATTGCCCATCCTGGTACAAATCTGGGATCTCGAGTAAGCCACAATAGGATCAAAATAACAAAATGTCCTGTAACAACGCACTCTCCGAACCTGGAAATAATGATTGCATATCACGGTATTCTCATTTAATACTTCTTATCTAACAGCATCCCTGTTTAACATTAGTCCCGTCTAAAAAGATATACTTAAAAACTTAATAAATGTAAGATAAAAATAATTTTCTTGAACACTCTCCTTTCTTTGAGTATTCCCCCAAAAAGTCTGCTCACTAGTGACAAATGTGTAAATAGACGGGCAGCTAACCGTTGTACAATGTCATCCTATACTCCAATGCCTGCGTTCCTTTTTCTGAATTACTTTAGGTAGGAAATTCATAACTTTGAGAATCGCCAAACATAAATAAAACGGCAAAATGGAAAAGTTAGTGTTGACAAACATTCATAAGAAATGTAGAGTATTTATTTATTTATTAATTTAAATTATTTAATCATTTCAGAGAAGAGAAGCATGTGAAAGACAGTAAATTAATTAAATTTAATTAATTAAATTAATTGATGTGAAACCACAGTGGTTTCACACATCAATATTAACATTATACTATATATATATAATATATTATAGATTAATATATGTAGATTTACTTTGTTCCATTTTCTAACTTACATTAGATCGGTAGTTTATTACTTTAAAAATTTTAAAAACATGAATAAAGCGGCTTAATAGGAACGTTGAAGTCTTACACAACGTATTTTAATTCTAAAATTACTTAAACTTGGTAGACACTACACACGATGTTTGAACATTTAGATCACTTTGATTTATTTCTTCTTAGCGATAATTTTTTATTGAAAATATGATTTGGCAATGAGATGATCTGATCCTGGGATTGGCCATGGGATGCCTTACGTTTTAAATGTGATTTATTGAATAAAATTTACATTCAGAGGTGACTGTTCGGTCTCTGACCTTTTATTAAACACGGTCCCATTGAATTTATGATTATAACCTAAATTAATTGATGACGCGTTTTTTAAATGTGAATAAATTCATAGTTCAAAGTTACGGCATATAATTCAACCCTTTTCATGACATATTTAGAAAACATGCATGCAGAATTGAATCATTAATTTTTATGACATATCATCCTTAGTAAAATATAAGTTACAGTATTTGCCCTTTGTTTTGCTCCATATCTCATTTGCACCATAACTTTTTTTATGACAGCTTTAAAAAACATGCATCGTGCATGCAGAAAATATTCGTTTTTATGACATTCAATTTACCCAAACCTCAGGTCATTTACCCTCTGCATTGTTCCATATATCATTTGCGTATATTAACCTTTATCTCCCGCCATTGACAATGACAAAATAGATGGCGATTTCTGCTAGAAAATACCACAAATCTCGGAGAATTTTCGAGAGCAATTTTGCTACTGAATCAAAAAAATGAATAGGTTCGCATTCTTTGGTAAAATATAGGCCAGTCTATAGCAATCATTTTGGGAAGTCAGAGGGCCATTTGGTAGACATGAATTTTCTAAAAGATGACTTATTTAGCATCAATTCATATATGTCTGCTTCTATTTAGTTGGTGGACGAAGGATTTTGAGCATTATTACCGCCTTGGAATAATTTTTGAGGGGGTATTAAATAATCATTCTGTTATTATCGATTATAAATATTTGCTATAGTTATGATTTCTATACAACATATCTCGTTATGGTTAAAGATGCAGATCTATATAGTCAATTATAACATCATCGATACTTTCAAGTAGAAAATCGAAACGATTTTGTTACTTCCGAAATCTTAAAATCATAATAAGCGATAAAGAACACGTTCTTTTTTGTTGTTCTCAATCAGACCTCAAAATGTTCGATCGCTATATGTCAGTAGAATAAATAGTATAAACAATGTTTTTTCTCATTTAAATGAAAGAAGTCTATCTTTATACTCCGTGTTAGCGTCCGATGATACAATTAATGAAACAATAGGTGATTATTTTGCAAGGGTTCATAATATTAACAAAGAGTTGTTAAACAAAATTGCTATGCTACCCAGTGATTGTTAAAATCAGATTGCAATTATTATGTTTTGCCATGCATGTACATGAATGTTTTATTTGATATTTGCTTCAACGGACTTATATCTCGATGTCCCTTAAATGAGTTCAAGAGACCAATACATTTATTAAGAAATTAAAAAGGTGCAATGTCATCAACAAAAAATTGTAAAAATAAAAATAAATAGTTTAACCAAAAATAAAACTCAGTACGAAAGTCCAATAAACTATAGCTACCAGATAATATTTTCTTTATACAGTTAGATATTCGCATCTTCGTAAATCTTTACGTTTTTAATAAAATACATGCATTTTGAAGGTCAATTTTTTATCGCCGGGGGACACCGAGACCGAAAACATACTTATCAAGCAAAAAAAGTATTTTACCTCCCCATTTATAAAAATGCTCATCGACACGAAGAATTATAGGTTTATTCGAATGATGTAGGTAAAAAAAACTGCTACTCATATTTTTCAGTCAAGTCACTAACCTAATAATTCATGGTCATAAAAACAGATTCGGGTCTTCAAATTATTCAATTATTCCGCCATCATATTGTAGCCCGGACAGAATTGTTTAATGGTCACCTTTTCTTTAATATTTTTTTTTAATTGTCAGTATTATCAAAATCTAATTACATGTTTGAAAACTAAAGTAAAATTTTGACATCCAAAAAATATTTAAGGAACATCTCTTAATTTATTCAAAAGGTGACCATTGAACAATTCTGTCCGGGCTACTATATACAAAAGATGCGATATTTTTTCAGAGCAGCAATTGTTTAATACAAATATCATCAATAGACTGTGGACTACTCTGATAATTGCAACTTCCATTTTTCATGGAAGGTCACACATTCCAACATATTTCAAACAGTCTGTATGATTATGCTAGGCACTTTCTGGGTAGTTGGACTTCATGTAGGGGTGGCAGACGGCCCTCAGGCCAATTCATACCCCCACCCTAAGAAAACCTTGGGGGTACTTTAATACCACCTGATAAAAAGAATTCTAATGCATGTCATATATTCATAGTTTTATAGTAGGCAGAGCATACCATGGTTAGTCAGTGCCAGAAATGTCCAATCTCTAACTTATATGGTTACCATGGAAACAGTATTTATATCTCAAAATCTTCTCAATTTGACCTCCTTCAAAATATGTCCCTTAGCCCTCAAAGTGAAATATTTGCAAATTTGTTTGGATTTTGTGGCTGCAACTTTGTCAAAAGTTGTATAAATATGTATATATTCACACTAAAGCACTAAAAAGTTGATATAATGCTCCAATAAATCAATAATATCTGTCAAATATAGTCACACACAACTACTTTTAGGGAAAAGTGGGCGTCGCACTTTTTGGAACTTGTGTAATTGTTGCAGCATTAAGCAAAAAATACATATTACACTAACAATAATTGACATTTAATTATCATTTACTAACATTGTGTAACATTGTAATATGTTCATTATCATTATTAGATACTTAAATTATTTTATGTAAGTGTTATCATGAACTTTCCTTTTATCCCTATACCATACAAGGTGGACATCACCAATGGTGTCAAACTAACTTTTCTGTTTAACTTATTTTTTACCATAGACAAGGGAAAAAGCTTAACTTGAAGTCGTGACCTCATTAGGTGCTATGTATATGGATAGATGGATTGATACTAGTCGGTAGATGGCAGCACTTGTGCTAGTTGGGCTAGATACAAGTATTTACCATTGACTTGACATGTGTCACTTAGTCTATTGATTTACCATATTCGTTCTGTTGGATTAAAGTAAAACTGCATTTGCATTGAATTTGATGATGTTCAGATTGTGTTTGAAACTTGATGATAATCAGAAGTGTTTGAAACTGGATGTTGTTCAGATTGTGTACACATGAACTTTAATAGGACCACTGAAACAATAAGTCAATGTTTAAGAATCTTTAAAATTATCTCAATGAGAATTTTCAATTTAGCCTGTTAACCTATAGTTAAAGTACACTTCAGCAAGATTTCGAAGCTATATAACAAATCTCATAATTTGCAACTTTTTCATTATTTGATAATTTAACCCATTATTCTTTATTGCTGATTTAAAAATTGCAAGGAATTCAAATAACCTAGGGAAGCCAGTGATATGAATTGGCCTTATTCATTGAGTTACATTAAAATGGAAAATTGTGAAGAACAAGAGAACTGTTCCACGGCTTCACTGTAAATATGGAAGCAAAGTCAACAAGGGATGTGGGAACTAGGCTGTTAACATATAGAGATTTAGAACTCTCCAGGGAAGTGTCTCTATTTGGTATAAAATACACAGGTCTATTCATGCACACCATTTTAAATATGAATCAAAATTAGTGATATCCATGTTTCTGGTGAAAGCATTAATTGAAAGAGACAAACATCCTACCCCAATGGTATAAAATATAAGGAAGTTCGAAGCAGTAAAAAGGTATTACCATTTTAGATTTGATTGAACAAATTGAATCAGAGGCAATTTTTAAATTTCGATATATTAAAAGAGGCTCTCTTGGTTAGATGGGAGAATTAGCTGCATGTTAAAGGTGCCGCTTTGTTCAGTTTATAACAAAATTGATATTAAGCCCGAAACAGTAAGAAATGTTAAGCAAATATTTCATTCTATGGAGGGCAATACCTGTTCATCTTTCAATGATTTTTGCAATATGTATTGCCCGCAGCCCGTAGGGCGATGGTAATACATGTTGCAAAAATCATTGAGAGTGCAGTTGTCAGAATCCCCAGGCGGGCAATACGCTGGACAATACGTCTTTTAAATATGGAAATAATTCAGTGAGCTGTGAAATACGCTGGTATTTTTAGTCACATGGTTCTGAATTAGCCAATCAAATCACACGATTTATAGCAATGATACAATAATTAGTGCTACTTCCATGAACACCCGTTTTGTAGAATATGATTCTGATTCTTGTATTTGGTATATATATATGAATTAGACAAAGGCAAATCAAGTCGAACATCTTGTTGAGCATCAAACAAAGGTACAAGC